GGGAATTTTCCACCTTGGGAAATTTTATCAAGCTATACACTTGTGATCTGTGCCTTTTTTTATATGTATGTTATTGTAGGGGAGGCAAAATAATTTTCCCTCTATGCTTCTAGGTTCTTGGCTGAGACCCCCTGTAATAAAACACAGATTAATGGGAGAAAAAACAAATAGAAACTTAATAACATGTGTTCTTCCTGTCTATGTGGAAGACAGACAGGAAAACTGAGAAACTCTCCAAAATGGCCCAAGCCATCAATTTAAATACCTAGGCCAGCTAAAGACAAAGGAAGGCCTTGGGGGTGGGGAGTCACCAGGAAAACACAGTGAATAAGAGTGAGGTTGTTCAGCACATCATCCTGACCTTCTCCACTGATAAGAGAGTCTAGAGATTGAGTCATCCCCATCTTCCTGGTACAGAGAGGGAGACACCCTTATGAATGGAGATTCCCCTCATAAATGCAAATGTCTCTTACAATAGGGTCACTTCTACTCCATTTTCGAAGTGTCTCCTATGTTTGCTGTTTCTTAGAAATAACCAGCTCAAAAGAGTCAATATGCCAAAGAGGTGTGCTTTGAGGTGGCATATTCTGTTCTCCTTCATTATGCTTTGATCTAAAAACAAAAGAGACTCTAGCCAAAGTTCAACATTAAAGAGTAAGCACAAGCCTTACACACACACACACACACACACATACACACACACACATACACACACACACACATTTGGGAGAAATCACCCTCCTGTCAAGAAGTTCATTGTGCTGCAATGTCCGTGGGGGAAATTCACCAGTCTGTGTCCTGCCTTTTATTGTGGTAATGAGCATTTGAAATACTTCTGTCTCTGAAAAATTGAGAGATTTGTAATGGTGTGCAGTTGGCAAATCTGCAATAGGCAGATTTCTCCTGAAGCTACCTGATCTCCCTACAGTCTACCCCACTTACTCTTATAATTTTTTTCTTTATTTTTATTGAAGTATCATTAACATAGAGTGTTATTAGTTTCAGGTGTACGATATAATGATTCAACAATTCCATGCATTATTCAGTGCACATCCAGATAAGCATGCTCCTCATCCCCTTTATCTGCCCTACTCATGTTGCCAGGTAAACCAGGGTAACCCCAGGCCCTGGGGCCTTGACCCAGCCAGACCCCAAGGAGTCTCAGAAATTCTTGGTCTTATCAGGAGAATGAATTCAAGAACAGACACACAGCACAGTGGACAAGTTACATAAGCAGGAAAGTTTATCAAAGGTAAAAGTATACTCTCGAGATAGGAGAGCGGCCAAGCTTGAGAGAAAGAGAGAGAGAGTGCTGTATGCCCTGGGGGTTGGGTTTCTATCTTTTATTGATAGTTGTTAACTAGGGGGCAGAATATTTATTACTTGGGGCAGGAAGCAGGATTTCAAGTTTTTTCTTCCTTATTTGGTCAGGGGCTTCCTGACATGGCATCTGCCATCTTGGGCCTGTCTGGTTTGATCCGGCTTCTTGTGGAGGGCTGCCAGGACAGGCCTCTGACCTTCCCAATAGCTGGCCAGGACTTCCTTGTTGCAGACCTGCAGGTCTCCTGTTAGAACCTAACTAACTGCCTACTCCAACATTTATTCTTAATATTTTTTTAAGATTTTATTTATTTATTTGTCAGAGAGAGAAAGAGCACAAGCAGGGGGAGGGGTAGAAGGAGAAGCAGACTCCCTGCTGAGCAAGGACCGCAATGTGGGACTCCAGCCCAGGACCCTGGAATCATGACCTGAGCCAAAGGCTGACACTTAACCAACTAAGACACCCAGGCATCCCTTCTTAATATTTTTTTAAATTTCCATTTCCCTACCTGCTTTATTCCCAGAAGCATCATGCAGAATCCATTGCGGACTCCAGCCACTCCCTCCCTTCTGTAAGGAGCAAGTTTACAGTCACACACAGCAGACCATCCCATGAGCAAAATTATGGGCTCACAACATCCCACTCTTTATGCATCTCTCCATCCTCAGCTGCATCTGAACCATTTCTTCCCTGCTGCTGCCTTCTCTAGAATTAATTAATTCATCAAATATTTATTGAGAACATACTATGAGTCATCGTAGAAACTGGGAATACAATAGGCAATAATGTCCCTGCTCTCGTGGAATTTGCAGTCTAGCAGGAGAGGAAACAATATTGAAACCCGCACCTCTAATTTTTTTCAAGTAGTGATATCTGCTTAGAAACTAAGAACAGATCAAGAAAACAAATGATATGGAACCTACTATGTGAGGATCTGGAGAAAGAGCACATGCCAGCTCCTTGTGGAAACATATCACACGTGTGTAAATTTGCCGTAATCGAAGTCCCAGGTGAGCGAGACCGCGTCTGTGTGTGTGGTTCTGTCACTCTTGTTTCTGTGGCTTTCCTGCTTATCCCATGCATCTGAAGCGAGTGCCCACCACACCACAGGTATTTGGCCCCTGTTTGTGGAGGAAATGAACAGGCAAAATGGCAGGAGGGAGACAGGACCGAGGGGGCACAAGTCAGAAAACACAGAGCCCTGAGGGCCAGGGAGCACATTCCAGTGGATTCTAGGGGCTCAGGAACCCTGTGCAGGTGGCTCTCCTTTATGTTTGGGACGGTCCTTCTCTCTGCTTAATGGCAAAAGGGAAGCCTGTGTAGAGATGCTTCCTGTTTGAGCCTGACCTCCCAGCAAAGGGTCGGTGATGCTGTAGGCAATGCCTTTGCTCTAGGGTCCAGCGGTGACCCCCCCATGCCCTCCAGCCCAGCACCCCCCCGACCACCACCTGTCCTCAGATTAGAGTGTCCAGACCCAAAGTGACAGGCTATTCAGTGACAGAGACAGCTGCCTTATCACCTCTTTGCCCTAGAAGTTTGAGTTGTGTTGCTCCCTGTAACGCCCCCTTCTCAGTGGTCCCTCTGCCCTTCAAGGCCAGCTGCCCACAGACCCTGGCCTTCTGTCCTGCGGCCCCATGCAGACGGGTCACAGAACTCCCTTGCCTTTCCCATTTCCTGGTGGTTTCACTGTAGCATAGGGCCTGTGTTTTTAGGTTGACTTCCTCCCCTCTGAATTCCCGATGTCCTCCTAAAAATCTGAGTGAGAGTCTTCTGCCAAATTCAGAAGCCTCTTCTCCTCTCGGTGTCTCTTCATTCTGCCTCTGAATGAACCTGTTTCCTGAAACCACAGTGTCCCTGGGACAGACCTTCCAAAGGTGCCCTCTTGTCCCGTAAGTCTGTAATCGTGTCCATGCTTTTTTCTCCATGGCAAGCTGACATATCACCCTCGGAGCTAGAGACTCCCTTCTTCTGGATCTATTCATGGCCGGATCCCTTCAACCTACTGGGTCTCTGATCCAAAGTCTGGGTCTTTGAAATCCACAATCGTGATCAAACTAACAATACTATTAGCAAATCATAGATAACGCGCCTTAAGCACTAGCTATGGGCCAGTAAATGAGTCCCTACAGGATCCCCATTTTATTTTTTGTTAAGATTTTATTTATTTATTTATTTATTTATTTATTTATTTATTTATTTATTTATTTTAGGGGGGAAGTGCCGAGGGAGAGGGAGAGATCGCAAACAGACTCCCTGCTGACCACAGAGCCCAACACAGGGCTCAATCTCACCACCTTGAGATCATAACCTGAGCTGAAATCAAGAGTCGGATGCTTAACCACCTGAGCCACCCAGGCTCATCATTCCCACTTTAAAGATGAAGAAATCTGGAGAATACACCATTTTAAATAACTTACCCAAGGTCACATGCCACTAAAAGATGGAACCAGGATCTGAGCTCAGGGGGTCTGTTGTCTTAGACCCTGGGTGAGAGGGGTGGGGCCTTTAAGAAACTGCAGTGGGCCATACAAATGTATAGAGTAGACCTTCAATAGTCCATCTTTGACCCTGAACATAAGTAAAGCATATTGAGAGGAACAGGACCGAGTTCTGCCTATCAGTGCTTAGCGCCCACAGTACAAAGCCCAAAGATTCCAGGCACCAGGACTCCGTTTGTTTTGAGATGAACCTGGCCCAGCCCCTGAGGAACATCTCAATTTCCAGAGTTGGAACTCTTGGGTGAGCCTGCACTGGCTCCATCTGTAAGCCCCAACCCCTGTGACAGGCTGCCCACCATTCTGTTACTGCTCTAACAGGCCTGGAGTCCTGCCAGCCCCCTTCCTGCCACTGTAGGTGGAGAAAGTCCAGACCTCTCAATGAAGGAGCGTCTTTCTCTCCTTGTGGCGTTTAGAGTTCTGAGGGGACAACCCATTTCCTCTCCTGCACGTTCTAAAGGAAATGAGAAATAATAAAGATAGGACTGACTCAAATAAGGATCACAGCACCAGCCTTGTCTTGCGGCGGGCCAAGAGTGCAGCTGGGATCCAAAGTAAGAAAGGCCTTCCTGAAACCCCTCTCCCCCAGATCTAAGCTCCGAGACAGCTCAGCAAGGAGAGCCTCTATTTACTTCTCACCTGGTGGAGAGGGAAGGGTCCCAGAGCCCCAGGGAAAGCTGTCATGGGCATATGACACTTGACCTTGAACTGTGGACCAGTGGATGTCAGACTTGGGAGAGCTATCAGCACAAGCCCCGCCTCTTCCCAAAAGGAGGAGCCTGTCAGAGGCAGATGGAAGCTTCCCCTGCCTAGGACCCTCTCCAAAAGAATCCATGACCTGGTCTTGCTGGATCCAGCTACTATTATGTCCTCTCCAGCATTCCTTACTCCACTGATAGAGAAATGAAGACACAGATGACTGAATAAGTGCACCTATGAGAGTCTGGGACAATTGGTGGAAACTGGGGGAGGTGGTGGGCACTTGGACGGGGAGCTGCAGGCTGTCGGGGCGGGTGCTGCATGACCGGGACCTCCTCCCATGAAAAGGAGTCCCCAGGTGGCCGGCTGAGGTTGTCAGGGTCTAACTGTGGCCAGGTCAGCAGGCAGGGGCTCGAGAACTCACCCTTCATGCTAGCCTTGAGCAGCAGGACGACGGAAAAGTACTAAGACATGAAAGAACAGTATTTCAGGCATGCAAAAGATTTATTTCAAAAAGATTAATGACAGGAACATTTAGAAAATCTGATGCAGCATGATGCTCTCAAGCAAACTGAAGGAAATAGGGACTTGGTGAAACGTGAGCGTTGAAAGAACATACTAAATCCAAGAAGGAATTCTAGACAGGCTCAAAACGTGCTGTGGGATTTTCAGTGGCATTAGAAATAGGAAGGATCCCAGTATACCAAACAGAAAAACGAATCAGTGATGCGGAGGAAAGCCTTAAAAAAGTGAAAGCTCACATTATAAGGACAAGGCACACAGGTAAGAGTGCTCTGCGTGATGGTAAACAAGGAGGAGAAGTAATGGAAATATCACACAATGAGAACTGGTGGTCCTGAAGAAAAAATAGAACAAATGAAACAGAAACAACAACAAAACATTTCTTTTTAGATTTTTAAATCTTCAAATTGAAAGGATTAAAGAATTAAAGATCATTCTAACTTATAATGACCACATCCTAATGGATGGTGGGTCAGAATGCTGGAAAAACTCTCCCCCTGGATTATGCAGATAATTCTTTAAAGCACAATCAAAAGGGGTGGGTTTCCCTTTAAAGGGAAATGCAAATGTTAGCAGGGCTGCAGGTAAACACAGGCAGTCTTCCAGGAGAAAAAAAAAAAAAAAAGTTGGCTCAGTTGCTCCTAAACATACTGAAAATGCATGGCTCTCTACCTTGACCAAATACTGGAATCCCTGTGATGCTTGGGTCCCACTCCCAAAAATCAGATTTAATTGGCCTTGGGTGTGGCCTGGTAATTCTACGAAAAGCCCGTCTTCCCTGCACTGTCCCTTGTGCGGAGGGAAACAGGGAAGAGAAGGCAGGGGGAGATACGGTCCCCCAACGCCCCAGAGCCATATGTGTAGGAAAGCGACGCCTCAGAGCCAGGGACAGGGCAATGTAAGGTGTGACCCCCCCACCGCCCGCCAAGACGGCAACTTCAGCACAGACAAAAGGGGCTCAGGACCACAGCTGGTTCTTGAGGAACACTTCACCTCGTGTTGAATAATTCAAGTTCTGCCAGTTCAGGAAGTTAGGGCTGAAGACCCCACCAGCGTGGACGGTGCTGATATCATGTGGTGACAACACGTAGTCCCACATATTCACGTCTCCGATGTCTCCCACCAAGGACTGGTTGGTATCAAAGCCCCCACCGAATGAATCCTGCTCCTGCCCTAGGATGATGCTTGCCCCTGCCCCCACAGAGTACCCCTTCTTCAGACTCATCCTCACCATGGGTTTCCCATCCACCCAGAGCTCTGTAATCCCCGTGCTGGACTCCCAGGTAACACAGAAGTGCCTTGGTGTGTAAAAGGTCTCAGGAACCTTGAAGTAGATGTCAGATCCACCCACGGATACGCTGTATAAGCCAAACTTTTCCCTGAAGAGAAGGATCTCATTGTGCTGAGCCCTGGTGGCATAAGAGAAGAGGCTATAAGGGCGGGACAAGGCGGTGTAGGCTTGTAGGCACATGGTGAAAGCACTCAGCGGCTTCTGCACCGGAGCAAACAGGGTCACAAAGGATGTATCTGATTCTCTGGGGAACACAAAGGCCTTTCTGTACGTGTCTGTCAGATAGAAAACAGAGAGAGAAAGTGTCAGCAGCTGAGTTATGTTAAAAAAAAAAAAATTCAGATGAGTACATTTAAAGATCTAGTTGGCTTTAGTCACTGATTCATGAATCAGGAGGCACCGCATCTAGCAGATAGAAAGGAGCTCTGAGGAGCTGTGTCACAGAAGGTTCGGGAAGAAAACGTCTCTAGCAAAGAGGAGATTATTTCAGGCAGTCACCTTCCTATGGGGGAAGGGAGGATTGCTCTCAGGAGGACGACCTCACTAGCACTGAGTAGGTGATTCCAGATTGACTGGATAAAGGTTACACTCCAAGGGGAGGCTGGCCCTGCAGTCAGGTTAGGTGTTAAGTCTTGGTTTGCTGATGTGGGGCTTAACCCAGGTGATTCCACTGGGGCCAGTGGTCTCTTTTTTAACAGTTTGTCAGGCCACGAAGATGTATTCTCTCTGTATGTATGGATAGAACAGATTTAGAAACCAGATCGCCCTCATCCCCAGACCACCACCTCTCCCCTATGCTGGGCATTTTCCTTGTGGCTTTGCACAATCTAGCCCAGAGACAAGAACTCAGCGACCATCTGAAGCAAGCGCCTACCTCCTTGGAAAAAAGCACCACTGAGGTTAACGATGACCAGGAAACACAGCAACAACTTATCCATGTTTCCTCCCTGTGGTCAATGTGTGCAGAATCTGGTTATCGTCCTGGAAAGAAGATCAGCGGCTGAGATCCCCATCTTGGGTCTGTTCCCCCTTGACCTTTTATGGGCTACAGTCAGCGTGACTCAGCTGATGGGTAAATGATTTTCCAAAATCTCCCTGTGAAGCCATGAATCAAAGCTCGAAGAGCAAATAAACCAAGATAAATCACAAAATGAGAGATCAATGCGGGTTATTTATTAAAGACTCCGCAGTGCCTGCTGGTGCTCCAACAACCTTGTGGCGGTGCTTGGCAAATACACCAGTCACAGTCCGGAAATCCAGTCTCGGGAAGTGCTCTAAAATATCAGCGGTGGCCGGGGGGGCAGAGGACGCTCTACTCACAAAGACAACCACGACATTACTTAGGAGAGAGAAATTAGAAAATTGGGGCATGGTGAAGGAAACCATATGTATCTACATCCACTCCATAGAACAGATAGCCACTTACAATGCGGGCTGTGACTTTTATGTTAAAATTGTAAAATTGTAAAAATGCTTATGAGACTATAAAGAGAACAAATAACATAAATTTGTTCATACACTATTTTTTTTAAAGAGTAACTTGCTTGAAAAAAAAAATCTGTAAGGAATACCCCCCAACGATAAGTGTTCTTAACATAGTAATGAAATTATGAGGGGCTTTTTCCCTCATTAACAACATTTCTGTAAGGTGGTTACATGACTTCTAAAACGAAGTGTGTGTGTGTGTGTGTGTGTGTGTGTGTGTGTGCATTTAATGAAGAAGCAAGGAAAGGGAGAATGGAGATCAGTAGTTCTTGAAGCTCCAAAACTACTCTTTCATTTTATCAACAGGATACCCAGTCTGACTGTGGCTATTTAGCTTTACTCCCAAAAAACCTAGAAAGGAGAACAAGATCAGTTTGATATCCTGATTTTGTATTTTGCAGTACATACATTTCTATATAAAACATTATAATTTCATGTGAAAAGAATCTTGAGCTTATTCGTCATGGTCTCATCATGACTTTTCCCGTGGATATTCAATGAAAAATTGGTAATAAGGGTTATTTTTCAATCGACTGGAAGAACCAACTATCATGTGGGTAGCTTATTCCAAACATACAAAGTAATGGGACTGTTACAAATGGTTAGTACATTTCTGGAAAACTTTGTTTTTGTTTTTATTTTTTAATGATCTGTAGTTAAGGGGCACCTGGGTGGCTCAGTAGGTTGAGTGTCTGCCTTTGGCTCAGGTCATGATCCCAGGGTCCTGGGATTGAGCCCCACATCGGGCTCCCTGCTCAGAGGGGAGTCTGCTTCTCCCTCTCACTCTCCCCTTGCTACTCCCCCTGCTAGTGCACTCGCTCTCATTCTCTCTCTCAAATAAATAATTTTTAAAAAAATAATATGCAGTTAAATTTGCTTTCAAATGACCCTCTCCCAAAATTTTTGCATCTTATTTTTAAAATATAAGATTGGCTTCAAAAGATGTTCTTATTTTAACCATTTGCCCAATGAAAGATAGATGCATAATTTGAACAGAAAAATATATATAATAGGTAAGAGATTGGACCCAGAAGGAAGAGGTGTTTTCCCTGTGCTCAAACTGCCTTCTTGTTAGCATTGGGCTCCCTAGGTGAGTCCAAAGAATGCAAGTACCAGTAGGATGGGTGGATGTTATGGAAATATATGGATTTCAAGGAGCCCAGCACATTGTCAGAAAGATCTCCAAAATGGATATTCTGAACAAGGCTCAACATTGAAAGACAGTGAGATAGAGAGACATGGAGATAGGGAGAGGGTGGGCTAACGCAATGAAAGAGAAGAGAAAGAACAAGGAAGAGGGACTCTAAGCCCTCTGCAGTGAGTGTTTCACAATCAGCTCCTGGTTCCAGTAACCTGCTGGAGAGCATGGTGACCGCTCACCGGGTCTGACCGCGGCCATGAACCTCATCAGGGGAGAGGTGCGGTAAGTCCGCGCACCGCGCGACCCTTACTCCAGCCTCAGATGTGTTTGCTTGGAAGCTCTCTGCTCCCTTTCTCCTACAGTTCACAGCGCTCCAATAAAAATCCTGAAGGATCTCAGCCTTTCCCCACACCTTGGCACCTCGGTTTCTCCCTGATTTCAAGCTCCAGTGGATGAGACAAACACCTCAAACTGCAGCGATCCAAAGTATCAGTTGTGGGAAAAGAAAAACATTCTAAGACAAACAGAATGTTTGTTATCACAGTGCAAGTCTACTGAATAAATAAAAATTTGTTGGATGGTAAACATAGGACTATCATTTTATTTAATCCTGGAGCAGCTAGACTCTAGACTCCAGGGCCTGAATAACGTATCTGGTGTGCTCTCCCAGTTCAAACAGAAGCCACTGTAATGTGAGGGAAAGAGGAAGCAAGGGGCACAACAGGCAGAAGAGCCACACAATCAGAGACAACAGCTGTCTTCCCGAAGCTATCGCTCAGCCTAGAACCGGGGTTCCCCAGCCCCGACTGGTAGAGACCGGCTGCACGTTGCAGTCCCTGAAGGAGCTTTAAAAATTCTGGGTCTCACCACCAGACTGTCTGCTGTAGCCAACTATGGTGTGGCCCAAGCAACTGGATTGTTAAAATCTCCCCAGGACATTACAATACGAGCATCTCAAGTTGAGAATCACTGGCCTCGAGGATTTTTCATATGCTTCCATGCCCTGGGTAAAGGCTTCCCAGGATATGAGATTATGTCTACCAGCATACATGGCAGAGAAGGTGGGAGTTTCCAAGTCACAGAACTTTGACAAGGTGCCATGGGCTTGCTCTGCCTAATGTCTGTGTTGATTCTGAGGCAGAGCAGAATCTTTATGCGCAAGCCATTCTCCTACACGTGCAACAACAAAATGAAAGCCAGGGAGATTGCCAGGACCCCAGAAATGGTAGCCAACAGCCTGGATGCATGGAGAGACTTCCCCACGAGGAAGCATGCCCACATCCTTACCCTCTTTCCTCCACCAGCCGCGTGAGAGCGGAGGATAAGCCTGTGCTGCCAGGAGCAGTTTAGAAGCACGGCCCCCGCAGCAGACCGCCTAGGTTCCATCCCAGCTCTGGGCAAGTTAATTAACTTCTTCGGACCGCAGTTTCTTATCTGTTAAATGAGGACTATAAAATAGTATTACCTCATAGCACTGTCATGGAACAAATAAATATACGTAAAGGACTTCAAACGGCGCCCGGAACGTGCTAAGCAGTCCTCAAAAGACATTTTTAAGATTCTGCCCTGAATGATTAAGCAATTATCATCCCAGGAGTGGGAGTTTATGAGATCACTCATCTGAGTGTATGAAAGGATGTGGGGTAGAGGAGGTCTCACTGAATGGGTCCTCAGAGAATGCACCAGAGGTAGGCTAAGGGATAACCTGAGTCAAGATGTGCTAGATCCTTCTTTAAAGATGACCACCTGCCTTTAAGCTTACTGGGAGCCAGTCATGTTCCCCAAATAAGACATCTGAGCCACCAGGAAGACACTAAAGTGAGGGTTCCAAAAACATATTGGGCAACTGAGCTTGCGAATTGTAGATTCCTGGGATCTAACTCTGGAGCATCTAATGCAGTAGGTTGGCATCAATGAATCTACACGCATAATGAATACCCCAGGTGGTGATGATGCCTGTAGTCCACAGGCCACAACCTAGCCAGGCCATCCAGGAAACTTGAGCTAGGAGTCTGTGTTTACTGAAGGAGAAGGCTCACAGCACACATAGGCCACCTCCTGGTGCAGGAGAAATGACAAGGTGCATGGATGCGACAGAGGCAGGGAACTGCAGGAAAGAAATCCCACCTCTGAGACTAGAAGTTGCTTATCTCAGATAAAGCTCTTCAGAAATCAAAGCAATACTTCTGGAATTCTATGGATCAGAAATCTATACTGGAGACGCTTGATTTGGGTATTTGTATTGTTGTTGCCACTGTTATTGTTGGTGTTTTAAGGATCTGGAGTCAGTTGCTATTTTTGTCAACCCTTGCACATCAAACCAGGAGGAGTTAAAAGCATGCGGGGAAAAAATCACATACTTAGCATCCAAATTGCTTTGTCGCCTGGGACTCCAAATCCATTTCCATCAGGCCCCAGCCCCATTTCTGAGGCAGCCTGCAGTCCCTCCTCCAGGCCCTGGATAGACCTCGGAGATGGGTCCTCATCCACTCATCTGGCTGAAGGCCATGCAAGGCTTGTCACCATGACCAATGGCCTACTATTTCTGCTGGACACGGGGAGATTTTTGGTACCTGATCTGCATGTCCATGGGTGCTCACATTGGGATCAGGCCTGGCCCTGTCTCTTGTCAACATGGCTACTTTCAGTCCCCAAAGAAAGTGTCCTATCAGGTAGCAGCCTCCAGCATCTCCTTATGATTTTACATTTACAATCTCTGACATATGTGATTGAGCTACCCCCTCTTCTTTGGCCTGGAAAGGTGCTGCAGTATCTCTTCAGGGGCTGGACTACTGCTTCTGTGGGACCTAAGCTCCTTCCCATGGATAGAATTATATAAATCTATTCTCCTTATCCCACCCTTTTGAAAGAAAAATGTTTATTGTTTACTATGCACGGGCCCTTTGTATAGTTTACTTCCTTTTTCTCATGGAAGGCCCTCTATGATAGTTTTATTGCAGGCTTTAGGTATCATTTGGCCCTCTGTCCTTTTAACTTCAGCCTTAATGCCTGATTCCACGACTGGACAAACTGGATGCATGATTCCTACTATAAAGGAAAACCAGTGCTGATGACGTGGCTTTCTTAACATCAACGAGAAGTGGCCTCAGTGGACAATTAATCTTACTTTCCATTTACTGTGAAAAAGAATTGTTTAGAACCAACTCACCCAAACTAAAATCACCCTTTTGGCAGATGTCACCCAACATTTAATTGGATTATGTCTGACAACTCTATACAGCGTCTCCAGTATAGATTTCTGATCCATAGAATTCCAGAAGTATTGCTTTGATTTCTGAAGAGCTTCATCTGAGATAAATGTGTACAAATGTGTCAGTCACCTTGGGATATATTTTCTACCAAAATTACATGGATGTATCTACCAGTGAGCTAAATTG